AAACTATAATTTAATTATAACAGTATCATCATCATCATCATCATCATTATTATTATTATTATTATTATCATCATTATTATTATTATTATTATTATTATTATTCATTAGTCTATTTATTTACCGTTTAAATTTGTTTGTTTTTTTTTTTTTCTCGTGACAAGGAAGTTTTTATATTATTTTTTATAACCGAACGGACGGTTTTGAATTTGATTGCCTGCAACCACGTTAAAATAAAATAAAATAAAATAAAAAAATGATTTATTTATTTATTTATTTTTTTATGTGTGTTGAAGCGTCGGTAATAAAATTTCACCGGAATTTTGTTTCAGATTTGCATTTTAATCGGTCACGTTCGAGCCTCCGATTTCAGCGATTTAAGGGGTCCATACTGCGAAAAGAGATCAGGAGGATGCTGTCCGGGACGAATGGACGAATGTTCGGTACCCATTTTAGGTAATAATTAAATCTTTCGTTTTGGTCGGTGGATACTCGTGCGAAACGTTTTCATAAATAATTTTTAATCCGCAGGTACTCTTTGTTACTGCGATGAATTTTGCAACAGGACGAGATCCGACGATTGTTGTCCCGATTATTGGACGTTTTGCAAAGGATTTCCGGTTCCGTCTCCGGCACCGGAACCCACAAGGAGTAAGTTTTATTTATTATTAATTTTTTTTTTTGCACTTGCAAGAAAATTACCGTCGGTCGGTCGATGATCATCGCAAAGTATTATTATTATTATTATTATCGATAAATTATTTTTAGAATTTAAAAACGAAATAATAATAATAATAATAATAAATTCTCGAACGAGATTGAATTCTCAGACGGATTTATTATTTTTTTGGTTTTGTTTCAATTGAAATTTTTTTTTTTTTTTTTGGAAACGTACTGTTGTGATCCCAACGAAATCTGGCCAACAACGAGGGCATCTGTTTTAAAATTTATATTATTTATTTATTATGGATATTTATTTATTTGTTTATTCCAAATCAAATCTATCCGGTTGAGAAGTTCTAATGAGAGTATTTGTTTATTATTTATAAGCGTGACATAATTAACGCGGACATTTATTTGATTTACTCAACATTCTGGATCACGTTCTTTCCATTAAACTGGAATAGCGAACAAAGACCATATTCATCCCTTAAGAAGGAGGTGATAGATTTATTGGTCACTTCAAGTGTAACAGATGCATCGATTGTTTTGGTCTTCATATAAATAGTGGGCTTCGGCACCACGTCTTGGTCTTTCGACATCCGTCCGTCAGTCAGAGTCTGCCTGGTTGTGTCTATCGCATAGCGTTGGGGACAGTCAGTGCATCTTAGGTTGGATTCAAGAGCATCAGATTCTATTTCCGTTTACTTTACATTTAGTGTTTTACTGATAAAGTAGTGTAACTAGTAGTATATTTGGTTAATATAATACATCAGGTAGAAATTGTCTACTTATTATATTAAATATCCGAATCAACTGCGAGCATACTACAAATCAGCAAGACCGAATTCCTCGAGAACGAGATCCATAACAGTACTTGAAGTTAATGACCGAATCGTTTTTTTTTTTTCTTGGCGTACATTTTTTTTTTTTTTTTTTTAAAAAGTTTTATTGCAAAGGATACATTTGTTTTATTACCGAACATAACGATGATAAATTTCCTTTAAATAATAATAATAATAATAATATAAAGTTTTAAATCTCGGTTGTGTGCGTGATTCATATTTAAAAACAAACAAACATCATATGATGATGATGATGATGATGATTTTAAATTAATCGGGACGAGATTTTGTTAAAATTTTCCAAACGGAAGTTGGCATCATTGCTTTTAAAATGATTATAATTAGTTTCCATCAAAGTTTTTTTTTTTTTTTTTTTTATCGAATTTGCGAATTTTCTCGTTTGTTTGTTTGTTTGTTTGCTGCGCCGTCGGAATTTCGCAAACGTGCAGAAAAAAAAAAAAAATTTTTTTTTGTGCGAAAAATAAAAATAAAAATAAATAAATTTTTCAAGTGCGCGTTTAGATTTATTACCAAGAGAGAAAAAAGGCAAACAAACAAACAAACAAACAAATAAATAAATAACCGACCGACAAACTCGTAAATAATTTATCCTTTTTTTTTTGGCGTTTTTATTTAAAAAAAAAAAGAAACAAAAAATTTTTTTTTTTAAAAAATCGTATGAGATTTCACGCTTGTATTTCCCCTCCCCCCGACCCGCCCCCCTTAACTCCCCAAATCCCCCTCATTAATAATGATTAAAACCGATAATAAAAAAAAACGAATAATGATGATAATTCACGAATCGAATTAATAAAACTGAGAGAAAAACGCCGCGAAATTTTCCTCTTTTTTTTTTTTTGTTTAGTCAATGTGATTAGTTTAAAATAAATGATTTTGCACAATAATTTTGCGTTGATTAATGGATTCGTTTGTTGTTGTTGTTGTTGTGTCTTTTAACAACAACAACAAATTCTTTTCGTTTGTTTTCTTATATAAATCAGTTTTTTCTAATTGAAAAGAATTTCATTGATAAGAAAAAATTACGTAAATAAATAGTAGGCCGGTTGTTTGCTGGCATTCATAGATAAATAAACGTCAATTTCTCTGATTTGTTTTGACGATTTTTTTTTTTTTTTTGCTGTTGTAAATTTTTTTCCGGCTTTTAAATTCAATTAATTAATTAAGCAATCGAGAGGGGTAAGGGAGTGGGGGGGGGGGAAGAAAGAGGAAGGCGAGGAAATAAACGCGGAAAAAATCATGGAATTAAATTTTTTTTTTTTTTTTTTTTCCCCCAGGATGCTATCACGGTGGAAGATATTACAATTTTGGAGAAGAAATTAAAATGAACTGCAATAAATGGTAAAGAAATTTTTCCTTGTTTTTTTAATGATAATTTCTTTAAGGTTTTATACACCGTAAATAAATTATCCGACGGTTGGTTTAAATCATAGCAAAACAACTTTTGCGGTGATTTTGTTAATATTTTTTGTTTATAGCAAATGTGATTCCGTGAGTTCTTTCACGATAGAATTTCTATGCGAACAAAATATATGCCTTGTCGAACCCGGCGTCATATCGGCCGTAAATTCGAATCGAGAACTCGGTTGGTCAGCAACGAATTATTCAATGTTTTGGGGTAAAACTTTAGACGAAGGTATCACTTACAAAACGGGAACTTTGCTCCCGCACAGAACGGTAAGAGAACATGTTTCGAAACCCCCCCTCCTCCTCCTCCCTCCCGAACACTATCGATTTTCGTATCATTATTATTATTATTTTTAAGGTTAAAAGAATGATGCCGGTTAAGGTTAAATCAAAAGGAAAATTACCCAATTCATTCGATGCGAGAAATAAATGGCCTGGATGGATAAGCGGACCCGCAGATCAGGTGAGAATATCAAACGTTTCGCATAGTTTAATGTCAATTAGAAAAGAGGTTTTTTTTTTTTTTAAAAATTATTATTATTATTATTTAGGGTTGGTGTGGAGCATCTTGGGCCGTAAGCACAGCATCCGTCGCTAGCGATAGATACGCCATCATGTCCAAAGGTAAATAAATTACAAATTTTTTTTTTTTTTTTTTGAAAACGTTTAGATATAATCAGGAGGAAGGAATGAGGGAGAGGGAGCGGGGGGAAATCATATACGAGATATTCATATACGAGTCACATACTCTCTATACTTTTTTTTTAAATAACCTAGTTCGTTCGGACACGATATTTAACCGTTTTTTCCCCTCTCTCTCTCTCTCTTTCTCTCTTTGAACATTTATTAACTGGAGCGTACGGTCAACAACAACAACAAAAAAAATTCAATAAGTTTTTTTTTTTTTAAACAAATTGAAATCATCAGAGCGGTGACATTCACGACATTAATAAAATGTAAAAGGATTACGCGACCTTAAAAAAAAAAAAAAAAAAAAAATTATGCACGAATGTTTAAATGATTTAGAACGTAAAAATAGAAAAACAATATGTCAGGAAGTTATTTTTATTTCCCGAACGAACGTATGACGATTGATTGAAAATTACGAATCATTTATATTAATAATAATAATAATATTTTTTTTCTCGTTGTTTGATGCCACGTCAAAACGGGAAACGGGTGTGCACGCCTTACCTTCTTCCACGATAAAAAATAATTAAATATTTTTTTTTATTATTATTTAAGGTTTGACGAAAGTAGATTTATCTCCTCAACATTTGTTGTCGTGTAATAAAGGTCAAAGAGGTTGTCAGGGAGGTCATTTATCCAGGGCTTGGACTTTCATACGAAAATTTGGGTAAGTTTATTGTTTATTATCTTAAAGAGAGAGAGAGAGAGAGAGGAAACTTTTAACCGTCACGAAACCGAAATTTAAATAACTCTTTGTGAAATTCTTTAAAAAAAAAAAATTTAAATTTAAATTTCAATTTGTTTATCTTGATTTCGGTTGAATTTTTTTTTTTTTTTTTTTGTTGTTCTTAATTTAAATAAAATTTCATCTCACGAAATCTCTTGTCACAGTCGGTCACGAAAATGTCGGTTAAAAGTTTTTCAGTCAACGGGTTACAATTTTAAAAAGATTGTCCCAACAATGGGGAGGAAGCAAATTCGTGGTAACAAAGTATACCAACGTCACGAGCACACAAAAACGTTAGTGACCCGTTTAAATATTCCCGTTTGTAACACACGTGATCACGTGCAAAATCCCTGTTTTATTATTATTATTATTATTTGTGTTTGTTTACACGTGACGCACAAACACACACACACAAGTTTTGAATTTAGAGAAACGAAAACAAAAACAAACGAACCATGAATTTTTTTTTTTTACTTTGTATTCCTTCAGGCTCAGGGGAGAGGGGGAGGTGGGAGGGGAGAAAAGGGAAAGGGGAAAATAAATATTGCATTTGAATTTCACGTTGCTCAACAACAACAACAACAACGACAAACGTGGAATGTTTAATGCGTTTTCCTAACGTTCAATTATAGATTGATGGAAAGTTTTATTAATTAAATATCGCACGCGTTTGCGTATGCGTTCGTTCGTACAATAATAACAGGATTACGTGTAAAATAACGATATCGTACAAACAATTACGTCACAAATACAAACGCAAACGCAAACAACCTCGTAAAGTTTTAATTTTTATTAAGTAACTATTAGGCGCCATTTTATATTTAATTTGTTTTCCTATTTGAAATTTCTCCCTATTTAACGGTTATATAAATATAGAACGGAAACGTTCGATTTGTGCGTGTGCGTGTGCGCGTGCGCGCGTGTGATTATTCAATTATTATTATTATTTTTTTTTTTCAATAATCTTTAATTTTCCATTTGTTAGTGAATTTTATAATTTTTGCTCTCACGTTCGTTGCGGTAGATCGTTGCGAACGTGACAGTTAAAATCAAGAGATTTATTATTATTATTATTATTAAAATTAAATCCGTGGAAAATTGGCAGCTTGAAAATGAATAATAATAATAATAATAATTTGTCTGTTCGTAATAAAAAAAAAAAAAAATGTCTCCGATGATTCGTCGACACGTCGGGAAAAATTGTTATAAATCGGCCGTCATCTACATTTTTTTTAAAATCTGTTGTCTTCTTTCTCTCTCTTTTTTTGGTGACCTTGTGTCAAATTAATCGTGAAAAAATTAATTTCCGTTAAAAATATTTTCTCTTTTTCCTTCGAAACGAACAGGTTAGTTGACGATTATTGTTATCCGTGGACGGGTACTCCGACGAAATGTAAAATTCCAAAAAGACCAAATTTCGACGCATTATCATCAATATGTCCTCCGTCTTTGGGTTCGAACCTTCGTTCGGAACTTTACAGAGTCGGACCCGCGTATAAAATTCAAGATGAAAAAGATATAATGGAAGAAATAATGCAATCCGGACCGGTGCAAGGTAATAATAACAAACAACAAAAAATTATTAAACTACTTTTAAATTCATTTTTTTTTTAAAAAAAAAAATTTTTTTCTTTTCTTTTATTTTCTAAAGCCACGATGAAAGTTTATCAAGATTTTTTTTCGTATAAATCCGGCGTATACACGAAATCAAACACGGAGAGAGAATCGTCCAATTTTGGTTATCATTCTGTTAAAATTCTCGGTTGGGGAGAAGAAACAAACATTTACGGACAGCCCATTAAATATTGGGTGAGTAAATAATAATAATAATAATGATGATGATAAACAACGGAAATGGTAATATTAATTTGTCAGGTGTGAAAATATTTGTTAACAACGTAAAATTATTATTATTATTTTTCCAGCTTGCCGCCAATTCGTGGGGTCAACAATGGGGCGAAAATGGTTTTTTCAAAATTCGAAGAGGTACTAACGAGTGCGAAATTGAAGAATTCGTATTGGCTGCTTGGGCGGAAACAAACGATCCCTCACGCGAAATAATAACGAAATTTCAACAGGCTTTCATGCAAGGACAACCATTATACGTCAATAAAATAAACGACACGTTGTACTTTGACAGGTCGGGTAGTAGACATCACGGATGAATCCGTTAGATTTATTTATTATTATTATTATTATCATCATCATCATCATCATCATCGTCATAGTCATCGTCTTCGTTAAATACGATTTTTAATATGTAGGAATACTAACAAACGCCGAGAGTGTTCATCGTCATCGTCATCGTCATCATCATTATCATTATCGTAATTTGTATTTTTTACTAATTAGTCAGAATTAGGTATTTTTATTCACGTTAGTTATATACATTTACAGTAAATAATTTTATGTTAGCGAGGTACGACAGAACAAAAAAGAAGAAAAAACAGCCCGAGTATTTTACTACTGCTATTATTATTATTATTATTATTATTATTTCTATTTTTTTTGTTATTGTAATCGCTTGTTAACGTTAAAATGTTAAAACTATCGTGATTGATGGGGTGAATGAGTTGTTGTTGTCGTTATTATTATTATTATTAGTTTTTTTTTTCTAAAGAAATGTGATCGGGTTTTAAAAAAAAAATAATTTAAAAACGAATTTAACGATGAGTTCACTGTCCGATTCGTTTCGTTATTATTATTATTATTATTATTATTATTATTATTATTATTATTATTGTTTTTGTCGCCATTGTTTTCGAACGAGAAAGAGAGAGAGAGAGGGGGGAAAGGTTTCATAAAGTAATTTTCATTGTCGAATGTTTGATGAAATCGTTTGTTTGTTTGTTTGTTTGTCTGTCTGTCTGTTTGGCTTTTTTTTTTTTTTGTATTTAAATTTTTTTTTTTTTTTTTTTAACGGTCGCGAAATTTGCCCTCGTTCAATTCGTCGAATTATTTAAATTCAAAACGCGCGAAAATGGAATAATTACTATTATTATTATTATTATTTATTTGAAATTTCGAAATCGTCGTCGTTAATTGTTTATTGTTTTACTTTTTTTTTTTTTTTTGAAAATTTTTTAAATTATTTAAAAAAAAAAAAAAAAAAGAAAAGAAAATGTCGTAACGTTTGTTGTTGAAATGTTTGTTCGAATTCGAATTTTAATTTTGCTGTTGTTTTAATGGCGAAAATAATTTTTTTGTTTGTTTGTTATGCGAATGCAAATTTTCACGATTGTCGTTAACCTAAATTCGTTTCGAAGGGGGGAAAAAAAAAGTAAGAATGAGGAGGAGGTGGGATAGGAAAAGGAGGAGGAGAAAAGGGGAGAAAGGGGGAAAATGGAAGGAAATTAATTCCACGATTTAATTCTACGTCCCCGTTTTTGTGTCAAGATCGTGCCGACAGAAAAAAAAAAATTTTTTTTTATCGAAAGTAAAATTAATCGTTTAAATTAAAAATCAATGAAAAAAAAAAATCGTTAATTAATTTTTTTTTTTTTCTTCATCGATTTAAATTGTTATTATTATCATTATTATTATTTAAAAGCTTAACAAATATTCGTTCTCGTTTCGTTTTATTGTTACAGGGGGTAACGGTTAATTGTTTGTTTCGCGAAAGAAAAAAAAACCGTTAAAATTATTCAAAGAAATATGGGTCGTTTTAATAACAAAACTCACTCGGGATTCATAAAAAATATGAAATTACGTTGGCGAAAGTTCAAAAAAAAAAAAAAATTTATCTTGACCATACCGAATTTTAAATTTCTTATTATTATTATTACAAACGCGATTCGAGTTTCCCCCTTCGATAACCGTCGCCGCCATTTTTTTTAAAATTTTAAAATTTTGTTCGCGAACAACAACGGGTAAAAAAATGATTTCGTCATTTATTTTTCCGCATTCTGGGTCATCGTTCTCGTTATTTTTTTAAAAATTTAATATAAAAGAAAAAAGAATCGTTTGATGTCGTTTTTTTTTTTTTTTATAGCGTTTAAAATTTAAATTATTAAAATTTATTTTATTTTTTTAGGGTCAACGATGTCGATTGTCTTCGACAATGTTAAAAACAAATTCGTTAAAAAGATTCCACAAAAAAAAAATGGCAGTATTCGAAACCAAAAGAATTTTTATAAATTCTTACCTTTAAATGTAATTTAAGTATCCATGTCTTCCATCTTCGTACTTTTAAATGCAAATTTAATTAATTTCATCTTTTTCCCTCTTTTTTCTTTTCCTTTTCTCCATAATTAGTTTGACCTTTGAAATATAGGTCAAGTTGGTGTGTGTGTGTGAACCGTGCATAATAATTAATCGCTGTATAAAAAATCTTTTATCCACTTATAATAATAATAATAATAATTATATAATTATACCTGTTAATTCGATTAAACAGGTGTTAAAGGTTATTAACGACTTTTCAATAATGCCACAAAACAAAAAAAAACCCACAATTAATTACAACATTTCACTTTTACGTTTACATTCCGCCATATTAATTTTATTACTGTTGGAAAAAGGTTATTTATTTGCGCGCGAAAGGTTGCGACAAAATTGGAACGCAAATTTGTCGCAATATTGTTATGAGATTGAATGGGGTTGTTGGTACGAATCAAACGGTTTTTTCCCTCCATTATTACGTCATTCGTCATACGATTACCGGTTCATCAGATTTCTTTTTATTATTAAAATGTTTTTTAAAGTTTCGGTTGCTGTTGTTGCTGTTGTGTGAGTCTTTACTATACTCGTTCGATTAATTATTATTATTATTATTATTATTAATTTTCACGTGAATGTTAATGTTAAGTTGTTAAAATGTTTTATATCAAGCTGATCAAGGTGCTGTTTTTTTTTTTTTTTTATAATTTATTTTAATTATTATTTAATTTTCGATGAAATAAACGAACAAATGGCTTACGGTAAGATTTTCATTACATTAATCTCATTTATCGCGGGGATGAGGGGGGTGGGAGTGGGAGAATATATTAAAAAAAATTTTTTTTGTGTTTGTGCCCAAAATGTAACAATCATTCATTAAGTAGTAATTTTGACTAACAAAACTGCCAAATATTTTAATAATTGTTATAAGAGCGGGTTTATCACTCCATATTATCAGTATTAGTGTGACAAAATGGATTTTTTATATATATATAGCGTTTATTGGTTGTTTTAAAACCCTTTTTCTTTGAAATAAATTTAAATTGGAATTTATTATGAATATCCGCTCTTATTTATTTATTTATTTTTCAATATTATTATTATTAAGAAATAATTAACGGCTTATTTTAAATGTATATTTATTGTGTATATTTAAAAAAAAACCAAGTTTCAATGCACCGTTAAAAAAAAAAATTATATATTGTACATTTAACAAATATAAATTAAAATTAATATTTTTAATAATGATTTTATTTTATGATTACAATTTTTTGATTACGTCATAAATACGTTAATTATTTATTATGTCGTTTAGGAAAAATATTATCGATAAAAAAATAAATTATGAGTATGTGAAAAAAATAATTACAATATGTTAAATTACAGTAAATGTATATATGCATTCATGATAAAATTTGTTTTATGCATTTAACAAAACATTAGTGCTGGATTAATGTGCGCTGCAAACATTGATTTAAGCAAATTTTTAAATAATTTAAAAATATATATATTTGAGCAGGCTCGAGTCAGACCTTAATAAATTTATTTATTTAGTAAATAAAATTATATAAATTACAACTCTTTGATACAACCTTCGAATAAGCTTGGAAACCAATACAGGGGTTCTTCGACATTTTGTTTGTCGATCCATGCCAAACCTAATTTTATCATATAATCAACTGCCTTTTGTGCTCTTTCTTTTTCCCACCTTAAAACATGTTGTAAATTACTGATTGATACATAGGCTTTATCATTTGTCGAAGCAGCATGAAGAACAGCAGTGTGATCCATTGATAATTCACCAGGAACTGATTGAACTAAATACTGACCCTTTGATATTGGAATAACAGAAAAACCACTTCCGAAAACTTTAAGTTTTTTAGCAGCTCTTAAAAGATCATCGACCGTAATTTCTTGATGTTCTTTTCTTTTTCCTCTCGCTTTAATTAATCTCCTACGCAATTCTTCTAATCCAATCAATCCTCCATTTCTAGAACTGGTGGCTAAACAAACTTCTATTATTTGAACGGCGAGTTCGTAGTAAAAATCTCCTATTCCGAGAACAGACCAAAATCCTTTGACGCTCGTTAATGGATCTACACCTATCGCAGCACACATATCTTGAAATTGTTTTCTAAATTGAGGATTAGATTTGATATCATTTTTATGTTTCCTTGCAAATTCTTCTAGGTTAACCCTGAAAACTTCCATTTGTTTAGTCATTTGTTCTAATTGATTTTCTTGGATTTCGGTTCCTTTGTCCCTGTATTTTTCCTGTTCTAAATTTTTTTTTTGAATCGCTGCTATACCCGCTCTTCTTCTCATTTTGTTTAAATGTAACAAGTTTTTATAAAATAATAATACAGTGATGGCGATTAATATTTTCTTTTTTTTAAGTTGGCGAAAAATTTCCCTGCTTTTTTTTTTTTGAGTTGTCAGTTCTGGTAATTATTGTTGTATCTTGCCACTTGCTGTTAAAAATTGTAACGGTCATTTTTCATGTAGTTAAATTTTGAACGGATTGCAAACGCAAATGAATAAAAAATGTATATATTTGACATAGAAAATAAATCATATTTAAAAAATATATTATTGGAAAAAATAAAATCGTTAGGAATAAGAAGTAGACTCCCGAAAAAATTCAAGGTATTTATTTATATGATATTATATTATTTTAAATTTTTGTTTACACCTAATTTTTTATTAATCTACTCCGTTTTTAATATTTTTTTTTTTTTAAGGAAAATGAAAAAGAAAATCATTATTCAGACAATCAAATTTTTCAAAAGCCTCTACATTTACTAAGTAAGAGCGTAGTTTATAGATTAGATGGATCTCCATTAGAAATTCCAGAATTTTTAGCTGAAGCATGTAGTTTTATTGAAAAAAACATTAAAGTCGAAGGGATTTTTAGAAAAGCAGGCTCGACTTCGAAGCAAAAAGAAAGGAAATTAGAATTAAACCAGGGGAAAAAATTTAATTATGATTATCACGTCTTGGATGCGTGCAGTTTAGTAAAATTATTTTTCAGAGAATTACCACAACCCCTTATACCATATGTTTTTCATGATATTTTATTGAAAAGTTTGTTGCTATCAACATATGAAAAAGAAGTCGAAGGTTTGATGCTGACATGTTTGCTTTTACCAGAAGAAAACTTAGCGACATTGGCTTTTTTTCTCGAAGTACATAATACACATATTATTTATTTTTGTTTTACTAATATTTACGATTTGAGCAAAAATATTAATTCGACATTTGATTAAATTTTAGTTTCTGCTCAAAGTTTCACAGCATTCGGATAAAAACAAAATGAATATAAAAAATTTAGCAATTATTTTAACACCTACTCTAATGCCATTAAACAAAAACTTAAGAGTGTCCAATAGCATAGAAATGGCTCACCATTTTAAAGTAATGGAGGTAATTTTTTTCAAGTCGTTTTCTTAAGTTGGGTGTACATATATTTTTTTCTCTTATAAATTTGATTGCATCATTTTTTATCTTACAGATGTTAATAGAAAATTCTGAAAATATTGGTAAAGTGCCTGATGAAATTATAGCAGATATGTTATCAATTAATAATAAGAAATCTAAAAAGAAAAGACGTAGCGGTTCAATCACGAGGATGTTTACAGGCCTTAGGAAAATTGTCGGAACCAGACATTCTGAGGCATCTGAATTTGATGATTCATTAGTTTCATCCCTTAACACTTCTGCTACTTTAGGAAAAAGGAAAAAAACAGAAACTAATGCATCATCTAAAAAGTAAGTTTTAATTGAATGTAATTGTTTAGAAGTTTTAAAGTAAACTTTTAGCGTGTTTTGTATTTAATTATTGTTTTTCTTTGTGTGTGTTTTGTTTTGTTTTGTTTTATTTTGTTTGATAGTAGTAGATTAGTGCATGTATGTTTTGTAGGAAACGTTTAACTGATTCAGCTCTTGATTTTTTGACTCCTTTGAGATGTAGGATGGATAGCTATACAGCATCTAATAATTTTTTTTCCAGGTATGTATTCAGTAATGAAATAAATAATTATTTGAGTAAAATAAATTTTTTTTTTCTTTTGTCGATAGTTGCATATAAATTCTTTCTAAAAAAAAAATTTTTTTCTTAAATTTCAGCCCTTTTTCTAAAGACTTGCAACCAAAGAAATCAAATGAAAAAGATGAGCGTAAGGAATCATTAAGTAAAAGCGTTCACGAAAGGTATTAAAAGGCTTAAATGATATTTTTAATTAAAGGATCGAATGATTATATAATTGAATTTTTTTCAGATGTGGTTCGGAAACCAGATTGTCTCGTTTAAATCTTGTACGACGATGCACTACGAAAAAATTGGTAAGTTAAAAATTTTACGATTTATTAAATCCGAATATCCATTTGCATATGCTATATTTTTAATTGCAGAAACCGTTGGAAAAACCTAAAACTGACGTGAACTCGGAGATGCCCATTTCAAATAACATTGCTAGAATATCGTCGGAAAAAAATATCAGTTTGAACAATTGTTTGCAAAAAGACTCACTTTTGAGTAATTTACAAAGTACCGACGGCGAATCAGGGTTTGAAGATGGAACAAGCGAAAACATAACAAATATTTCCGACAGTGATTTGATAACCGTTCATAAAAGCGAATACGAGGCTATTAAAAATCGGGTATCTGCTTTGGAAGAAGATTTAAAATTATTGACCACCGTTCATTCAGTTCAATTCGCTTATGAGAAAGCGTTAGAAGAATCAGAGAAATTAAATGAAAACACTCCCGACCTTGCTCGGAGATTGAGTAAAGAATTGAAAATAAGGTTAAGCTCGGAAAACAAAGTCGTGAGATCTCCCAGCGCAAGGAAAATAGGTTCCTTCAGACGGCGTTCGAAAGAATCCATATGTAAAAAATCAGAGCAGAAGGGTAGTTTGAAAAGGGGTAGGCCTAACACGGTTCTTACGGGTCTACCGTCACCGAGGTTGCGTACGCTGAGCAACGAAAACATTTCAACAACCAAACCGGTGTGCATGGTCACGAGATCGTCGACCTTTCACAGTGCTAAAGAAGATTGGGAAAGCGGCGAAGCTTTTTTCGCCAAGGAGCATCTGCTGCGAAAATTATCACCGGCGGTTCAAGGGAGGCCGTCGCTGGCGGAAATCCGTTGTCAAAACGCGGGAATGGTGTTGGAAAAGGCTAAACTATTTAATTCAATGAACGAATCGAAAGAGGCGAGAGTCAAAATGCCGAGACGTCAATCCATTCGCATAGAAAATTTAAGACGGTTTAACGAAGCCGATAAAAATACAAAAAAAATGCTGACGAGAACGAGAAGTTTAGGATCGGATAAAAAATTGAAAAATTCTTCTCCGGGCCTAATGACGGAGAGTCCGATTCAATCGAAATCCCACGGGAGAGAAATGGGTCAAGAGTTTGTAACGACTCCTAAAACTCAAAAAATTCAAACTCCATCTCACGGAAATCGTAGGGAAACTCCATCTATAAAAAAATCACTGACGGTAAGATCTCCAAGGAATTTCGCCAAAACGCCTCTCAGTCAAATGCGTTCGGCAAATAGAATTCGAAACACTCCGATGAAAGTTTTGGCGGAAACCGGAAACACTCCTCGTCAACACTTGAGACGATCACCGCGTTTTTCAAATCGATCGTTTAACACGCCATTAAAACACAAAGAATAAATTTTTATTTATTTATTTATATGTATAGATATATGTATTATTTTTAGATGATAAGTCACTGTTAAAAGGTCACCGGGTCATAAATAATGTACTTTTATCAGCGGAAACGGAAAAAGATTGTAACGGTTTTTAATCATTTTTCTTCTGTTACTCGTTCATATTTCAAATTTTTCCATTTTCAATATTATTATTATTATTTCTTCTTAATCTTATTTTAATCAATTGATAATTATTACTACTAACATTTTAATTAATTAACAATCGTATTTTTTCTAATACAAATAATGATAATTGTCACGATAATTGTCGTGCCTTCTTATCTCACTATGTATAACATTGTGCAGTTAATTTGCTGCCGGTAATATTTTAAGTTATTTTAAGCAAAAAAAAAAAACTGTTTTCGAATTGTTTAAAGCAAAAAAAAAAAAAAAAAAGTATTTGCCTTTGTGCAAAGTGCAATAAATTCATAATTTGCAGAATGTTTGTTTGTTACGAAAAAATAAAAAATTAGTTTTAATATATATAAAAATGATATAAATAATAATAATAATAAAATTTATTACCGTGATAAAAATTAATAAGTTTATTATCAAAAAGGTTTTATTTATCATGATTTCGAGACGTCAAAAAGAAACGTTAATAAAAATTATTTTGAGAAATTCTAAAGAATTCATTGAGAAATCAATAAAATTATCATTTTAACGTTTAAAGAAACATACGTTAACTTTAATACAAAGTTTACTACAGTAAAAAATGTCATAGAGTATATAAACGGTAAGAATTGGTACTAAATGATTGAAGTTCTCCGCGCCAAAAATTTTAAGTAGATGTCGTTACAAGTACGAAAAAGTCTTTTGCGTTTTTTACATTTTGTGTGTTTTTTTTTTTTACTTTTATCGGTTTTAATTTAAAAATTATATATTGTTAATAACGTAAGTAATTTTTCACGTCAACATTTTTACGATTTTAATATTACAAAGAAAATCTTTTCAAATTATTCACGTTTAAAATGAAAAAACTTTTCTTCTATACCCAAAAGCAATACCAACGCCATAACAATTTATTTATTTTATTTAAAACAATAATTTTTCAATAAAAAACGTTTACAATCATAAATACAGTATTAAAAATTACTTAAAAGGTAATAGATAGATGACGAGAATACAATTTGTGAATTACATTTGACAAAAATTGTTATTTATTAGCATTGAAATATAAGACGCCATATTGGCCAATAAATCACCTTATTGCTAACTGTCAATGACTATCAATGCAGGGAATAACTTAAATAAAAATAAAATATTTTCTTTACAGGTGCTTTATATTGATTAAAAAGAAGAATTTATGCCTGTTTTATACCTTTTGATTGATACCTCACAAACTTAAAGGCACATCAAGGAAGTTTATTGTTGCATTGGTGAATTGGTCAACTTGGGATAATACTCATCCAGAAAAGTATGAAGTAAAAGGGAAAATTATTCAAGGGGTAAGTCACTTTATATTTTCTTTATATTCAAGCCTCCTAACAAACAACTAAACATAAAATATCAAAACAAAGAACACAAAAAACAATATCATCATCATCATCATCCATATTATGAATGATTCAATCATCTATTCAAAGAATGTAAGAAAAAAAAAACAAACAAACGAAAAATTTCATATTTGTTTTGTCAAGTGACGTCACACACCCCTCCCCCTCCCCATTCAAAATTTAATTTTTCAAAGGAAATTAAAAATAAATTTTCTTTTCTTTTCTTTTTCTTTTTCTTTTCTCCTCTTTCATGGTGAACATCATTTTTATTTTTATTAATAAAATACATTTTACAGTTTTTCTTAAAAAAATCAAAAAAAAAAATCAAAAAATAATCAATCAATCAATAATAATAATAATAAAACAAAAACAAAAAAAAATCAATTATAATAATAATAATAATAATAATAGTAATTTTCCTTTTCCTTTTCCTTTTCCTTTTTCATCTTCAATCCTTCCTTCTCCATCCTTCCATCCTTCTTTCTTTTCCTTTATTTATTGATTTTCCCAATTAAACTTTTTTTTTCTTCTTTTTTAATCTCCCAGGAACATTAATAATTTACTTATTTATTTATCTAATTTTTTAATACATACATAACATAAATAATTTATTGCAATTTATTTATTTATATTTATTAATAATCTTTTTTCTTTATTTTTTTTTTATTCTTTTCTATACTTTTCTTTCTTTCTTTTTTCAATCAATACATATTAATTCACGTTATTTTCCATATCATTATTATTATTATCATCATCATTATCATTATCATTAAACACATTACTTATCATCATTATCGTTTTTTTTTCTCATTTTTTATTTTTTTGGGGAGTTTTTTTTTAAAGTTTTTTAAATTATAATTTCAATAACATTTATTATAATATATTTACTTATAAATAGAGGATTTATGAAAATAAAAAATAAATAATAATAATAATAATAATTAATAATAATAATAATAATAAATACTAAACGCGATATTTTTTTTTTTTTTTTTTAATATTTCGATTTTTATTTTTTTTATGTTTTTTTTTTGTGGGGTTTTTTTGTTTTTCTTTTTTACTATTTTGTTTTTTTTTTTTTTTTTTTGAATTTTTTATGTTTTTTAATGTTTATGTTTATGTTTATGTTTTTGGTTACAAATGATTAAGTGTATGTATGTGTGTGTGTGTGTGTGTGTGTGTGTTTGTTTGTTTCATATTAACATATATATTATGAAAAGTCGTTATTTTTGAACTTTTTGTTTTCTCATATCTCTCCATTCTTTCATTTTCTTCATTTCTTCATTTCTCTCTCTCTCTCTCTCTTTCTCTCTCACATTTCATCTCAAAATTTCAATAGTGTGACAAAATTCAATTGTCATCACTCTTTCATCTTCCTTTTTCCTTTTTTTGATTCCATTTCCTCCTTCTTCTTCTCCCTTTTTTCGTGCAAACAAATTCTGGTTATAGATTTTTATCCCTCTCTCTCTCTCTTCCTTCTTCTTTCTTTTGAAATTTTCCTTTTATTTCAACATCACCCGCGTTTAATCACATATTCGATCCTTTTTCTTTTTCGTTTCCACCTCATTTACTTACAAAAAAAAAAAAAAAAAAAAAAAAAAAAAAAAAAAAAAAAAAAAAACCCAAAAAAAAAAAAAAAAAAAAAAAAAAAACAAAAAAATAAAAATGATGATTATAAGTGACTGTTTTCGAAATCTTTTGTTACAAGTTCGAAAAAAAAATTAATAATAATAATAATTAAAAAAATAAAAATTAAAAAAAAAAAACGGGGGGGGGGTGAGGAATCGGGACAAAATCATTTTCACTTTGTGCATTTCTTTTTAAATCTTTTCACAGAACAAAAAATTATTTTTTCTTTTCTTTCTTTTTCCTCGTATGAACTTAAATAACTTCATTTTTTTTTTTTTTTGACTAGATTCAAATGAATAAATGTTTTCATAACTTTTTCCGTTTCCAAATAATAATAATAATAATAATAATAATTAAAAAAAAAAAAAAGAAAAATTAATAATAATAATAATAATTATAATAAAAATCCATGTAAGTAACTTTGATGTCGTCTTTCCGACGTTTTCTTCTTCTTCTTCTTCTTCCTTTTTCTTTCCTTTCCTTTCGTAATAATAATAATAATTCATCCTCACACATTCATATATATTTATACATACATATGTAATTTTCTTTAACATGTATCCACCACATTTTTCCTAATTGTTTTTCATTTCCCTCATTTTTTTTTGTTTGTTTTTGTTTTAAACACGGGAACTTCAACAAAAAAAAAAAACAAAATAATAATAATAATAATTAAGAAATGTTTTTTTTTTTCTTTTTTTTTTTTGTACAAAAACTTTAGCTTCTTTTATTCTTTCTTTTTCTTTCTCTTTCTTCCCTTATTCCTTTCTTTCATTTTTAAAGAATTGTTATTAATTTTTTTTTTTTTTTATTACAAGTCATTTTAAAGGCGATCGCGAGTTATTTATTTATTTTTTCCTATTTATTGCCGATTATTTTGTCGCCTCCTTTTCAAACCCTTGTGATGATTCGGAGATGGAAATCCACCTCTGGTTTGTCGCACGTTTCCCACTGTCAAAACAAACCGGAAAAAAAAAAAAACAAAAAAATTTATTTATTCAATTCGTTTGTTTGTTTGTTTCACTTACAAATAATCATTCAATCATTCATTCAGTCATTCAATCAATCAATCAATCAATCATTTTAAACTCACCGTGGTGGGGCGAATTGCTGTTGTGCCAAAATCTTTCATTTTTGAAACACAAATCTTTACCCGTGGTCGACGTTCTCATTTGTTTTAATATGTTGTTTCTTACCGGACTACCGCTTTCGGAATCCTAAAAAATCTTTCAATTTGTTTTACATCGTTTTTTAATTAATTTATTTATTTTTTATTTATTTTTACCTTTTTATTATTATTATTATTATCATTATTAATATTTATTTATTTATTTATTTGTTTATTATTATTATTATTTTTTCTTTATTTCTTTCTTTCTTTGTTTCATTCAAACTTAAACAGGGAGACTTACGGATTCTGATACTGTGTATGGGGATTCCGAATGTTCGCTCGAACTTAAACTGTGAGACGATAGGGAATCGTTTTCATTTTTGTTGTCAATTGATGATTTCACGGGAAATGTTTTCTCTATCCACGCTCTATATTCTATAACGTCGTCCGTGATTCGAACTATTCGTCCCAATATACTGTCGGTGTAAAAGAAAAGTTGAGAAAATTGTTAGACAAAATTTCACTTTGGTAATTTCGTTTTTCGTGTGACTCATTATTTACCTGTGTTTATTGATATCTAAAAACGTATTTAAAGGATGAACGGCTTGTACTAGCGTAATGTAAGCATAATCGAAAGCTTGTTTAACTTGTAAAGCACCGTAAGAGCTTTTACCAATGTCGTTTCCGGGCGTGAGAGGATCTTCTATGCAAAGAAAACCAGATCGGTGACCGTCTATCATTGTTTTTTGCACCTGTCAATCAATATCACCTTTTTTTAATAATAATTCAAAAACAATAAATAAACATTCGGGCGCCCCCATGCGTGTGATGAAAAATCCCCCCTTCCCCCCCTCGTTTCCAACGGTTATTAACCTTTGTTTGTTGTGATTTAATTGATATTGGAAATAAATAATAATACAAAGATAGGTCACGTCACGTCTTTTATAATTTATAAATATGATAAAAAATTGGGTGAAAATTAAAAATATTTTACAATGAATCGCAAATATAAAAAGATAAATAATTTTTTTTCCCAAGTAGAATTAAATATTTAATAAATTATCATTCGTTAAGATATAAACATTGTCACGTTTCAAGGTTGATTAATAGTAATAATAATCTAATCCAGGGTAAATATAAACCATTAATTAGGTTTTTTATTTTGTATGTGTAAAAAAAAAAAAAAAAAAGCTGTACCTCTTCTTTACTGAGATAACTTCCGCCATCCTTGACTCGAATCCCACATCTTAAATAATTAAATTTGTGCCCATACAATTCCATGAATTCAATTAGTAAAACACCTAAATTAACATCTGATCGAAAGGCATCTTGTCGAGGATGCAGCTGTGAGCAACATACAAAATTAATAATCCGTAAAAAAAAAGGAAAAAAAAGGGAAAATCTCGATTTAAAAAAAAAATGTATACCTGTAAAAATGATATGGTCATTAAAATAAGACTGTAACTAGAAATTCCACCAGTGAAAACTTCATTCAAATCTCTTTGCAATAAAAATTGTTTTAAAACGAGTACAAGTTTTGCCAACACGGGAAATTTTTTTTTAAACGTTTTTATCAACTGCGCACTTTGTACTCCGGATGACATATTGAAACTAATATCTACTTTAACATCCGATTCTTTATCCCTAAGTTTAATTATTGGCACCTATAATGTTAAAATAAAAAATTAAGTAAACTGTATGATTTAGAAAAAAAGAAAACAGATATTTCTTTTTAAAAAAACTCCATACAGAAGCTTTATCCAAAACTTTGATTGTATGTTGCTCTGCTATTTCATTTTCTAATAGCTTTTGTTCTAATTTCCACAGTGGAAGCGTTGGCCAACAGCCAATAACAACTAAATCAATATCGCTAAAAGAAAAACACATTTTTTTTTTTAAAGGTTATGATAATAATTAAAGGGTTAAGGTATAAAAAAATAATTAATGGTTATATTTACCTAGTGGGCAAATACAATCCCGTTCTAAAACTACCAAAAACTTCAACTTTCGCCTGAGGCCAAAGTTCGTGAATTGCACTCTTGATCTTGTGCACTACTTTTAACCTTAATTCATGTTCACACTTTCTAGGGCTCATATAATTATAAAATTCTATTATTTCATCATGGAGGCTATATATATATAAAAAAACAAATAAAAATTTATTTATTTATTTATCTACTTTTTTTTATTACAAATTATCTAAATTGTTTTTCTAACAGCATTAAAATAATAAATTAGTTTTAATAGTCTGTGTTAAGGTGGATTGGACATTTAAATTTTAACATTCTTTGTTTCGATTTTTGTAAGATGTTTACAATCATAATTAAAAATTGTAAAATCAAACCTTGGTTTTATATATAGGATACTCAATTGAAGCAGACAGTTGGTGTAAGCTATTACTGCCATAAAATAAATTATAATTAGAGGAAAAATTTTGAATTCGATTAAATTAATAGCATAGATTTTAAATAAACGGTACGTGTCCTTACCCTAGGATTCCGGGTAAATAAGTTTTCCCGGGTGTCCTCCACGGTGTTCCACCATGCCGTCCTATGAGAGCATCCCGATTAATATTCATTCCATACGTACTAGCAATGTTTTCACGAAACCTTTTTATTCCGTTACCACCATTCATTCCCGCGTTTCCTTTCGTACCACGATTACCATCATCATTTTCAATTGGAATAAAATCTAAGGATTTCGAACCCAGATCAGTTTTATCCATGTCCGAAGGCATTGGAGTTGGTTTTAATGACTCCCAAATCCTCAGCCACAATTCCTTAGCTGGACCTTCGTGTTCTGGCTGAAACCAACCGATCGCTGGATCCATCTACTATTACGATCAAGAATATAATTTTGAATCATTTATCCTACGCATAACCATACAAATAATAAATTAGTTAACAAATAACATAAGGAAAAACATGCACAACCACTTTCCAAGGAGACATTTTATGTAAGAGAAATTTGTCGCCAATTTGTTGACTATCAAAAAAAGTCGTTGTAAAATACATTTAACTGACACTGAACTTCAGTTGAAGTCCATCTTTTTATCTTATCTATTAAAATTTATGTATTATTATTATTATTATTTTTTGCACATTTATTCATTTTTACTTAAAAAAAACAATAATAATAATAATAATATTGATAGTTGTATCGGTGATTTTAATAAGTTTATTTGAAATTAGGTATTGACATTATTTTCACTACATATATTTTATTATATACATAACTAACGTTCGATTTAAATAAAAAAAAGAACAAAAAATTTATTACTTAATTTATTAACGGTGAATAATTATTACACGATAATATATACATATATAAACTTACTGCTTTTTTCGTTTCATTAACTTTATTTATTCAATAAATCAACTTTTTCATGTGTGTGTATAAGCTAAATATAGTTTTAAAAAAAAATGGAAAATTATTGAACTAGAAAAAAAATTTGCAAGTTTTAACTTGTTACAAATCACGTTGACAAGTTTTTGTTTGTATATTTCTCTTAAATCATTACACTATCACAAATATTTATTAATTTATTTATGTAATTAATTAATGTGAATTGATTTTTTTTTTTTTTAGATTGTAATTTTGTATTCGAGTTTCAACCGAAATGACCACAAGTTTAAATTTAATGGATTATATAAAAACTATTATTATTATGAATAGAACACTGGAAATGTTTGAAATGGGATAATTTATATAAGGAAAATATTATTATGACAAAGGATTTTGAGATTAATAACAGCATTTTTTTTATAAATAACTTTATTTATGTGCTTCTCACAATTTCATCGAAAAAACAATTTCAGGTAAATTATTATTATTGACACAAAAATTTTCTTTTTCTTTTTTTTTTTTTTTAATTAAATGAAAATGCAAAATGAGTGATTGATTGATGATCATTCCATCATAACCTGCTAAATTAGTAATTCAAATGTGAATTTTTTTTTTTTTTTTGTTTCTCGTGCTGTAACACACAAAGCAACACACATTTAATCGTAACTACATTCTTAAAAATTTTTTTTTTTTTTTTGAATTATATATATATATATATATATTCTTATTTAAAAACAAAAAAACAAGTATCATTAATAATAATAATATTATTTGAATTAAAAAAAACAAAAGAAAATATAATAATAATCTTTTGAATATGATAAATTTTTTCAAAGAAACAGAACACATATTATAAATACATAATAATTATATATATATATATATATATAGTTTTGGAACAGTTTAGAATATTATTATTATTATTAGTCTTTAAACGAAATCATTATTATTATTATTATTATTATTTTTACTTATTTAAGCATATAAAGCTTGAGTAAATTTTAGTCAATCAATTATTTATGTTTATATTTTCCTTTTAACACAAGCAACAAAGCCTTTCGATAATTGTCGATTATGCAATGTAATCAATCGATAAACATTTTTTTTTTTTTTTCGATTACAGATTATAAAGACAGAGAGAGAAAGAGAGAGAGAGAGAGAGATAGACGACGACAACGTTCGGCGAACAATGTAAATATCTATAAACTACATTCAATAATAATAATAATAATAATTTGCAATAGCAAGAATTTAAGAAAAAATATTACAAATATCGAATAAATAATTTTGGAAGGCAACTTTTAATTTTATTAAAAAATTTTTTTTCTCTTTTTAAATTACCTAAAACAGCTGGTATTCGATAAAAGTAAAAAAATAGATTACTTTTGTAGAGATTAATAAATAAAAAATAATGATAATAATAATAATAATAATAATAATAATAATAATTAAAAAAAATTGTACAAAAATGACACAGCATGCGATAAAAACAATTTTTTTTTTAAATTTTGGCGAATTATTAACATGTAATTTTTGTTTTTTTTTTGGCACTTAGGAATAAAATTTACCAACTGACAACTTGCCAATTTGGTAGGAGTTCGGCAACGCGAATTGACGAATGCCTAGACATGTTATAGACGAGGGTTTCACCACCGGCAAGTATGGCTCCCCAAACGCCGAAAGTACCATAGTCGATTATGGAATGATTGCAAGCCGACATTGTGGCTATGTCTTGTCCAGGTCCAGTTATACCCGGTATGCTAGCCACGTAAACATCTTCATCTGGACCTCCTAGATGACTTTTACACCAATCCGGATCGTCGCTCACAACGATGAATACGGTATTTTGATATTTTTTTCTAAAATAATTCATGGCCGTGTAAAAAAAATCTTCGGTTGCTGCTTGCACGTGTCTCGTTCTCCATAAATAGTATATGTAATCCGTTCTTCGAACGTGAACTCCTACGTACGTTAGATTTATTCTATTCTGTGCGGCTTCCAATAGGATTTTTTCTGCCGTTTCGGATAGTTTACGTTTGAAACGAAATTCCTGTCGTATGTCATCTATCCAAGTTAATACCGTTTCGGGTAGTATGACGAAACGTGGTAAAACAATTGATTGATTCAATCGCGTCCAATGATCGGGTAACGTTACGATACCCTTCCAATCGATTCGACAATGAGCAACGTGTCCCAAATTCGGTACCGTGAGATCAACAAACACTTCTTCCAGGGATTTTAACAAACATCCCGGTACGAAGGGTTCCAATCCCGTTCGTCTCGCCACGGCCCAAACGGATGCATATTCCCACATTTGATTCCCCAGCCTTCCACCTTGCGTTACCGTTACAATCCCATCTCTCGGACATTTTCTACGTATTCGCGGACGCAAAGGTTTCAAATTAACCGAGCATAAACTCTGCTCGTATTCGCCCAGGAGTTTTCGTAAACCGTTTCTTTGTGGTACTACTTCGTAGAGTGGAAAAACCGTTACGTGAACGACCAAAATAATAACGAATGCTAATATAATGGCTATGCCCAAAAGGTTTTGACCCGGTCTTGCAGCCGTAACGAATCTTCTTCCGTGGCTCAGCCTATTTTTCGTATTACGTAAATCACGGTTCGAAGTGCATGACAACGTTGACCTATGTGAACTGCTCTCATTTGTTATCCAGGCAAACATCTGCTATCGTGTATCATAACACATATTATGTATACTTCACTCGGATTTATTTATTATTAAGCTCTCTTTCCGGCACCTGAAAATCATACATTTTTTTCCCTATTTATTATCATAATAATAATAATATTAACATTATGTTAAAATATGGAGGAAAAAAAAATAATAACACGCACCAGGTACACTTGTTGCTTTAAATCCACATCATTAAATACATGTTTAACCTTCATATCAGAACAAAATCGATAGAGTAAAATTTCATAACTTTTATCATAAACAGTTGAGTTGAAATAATCATGACGATCATCTCATTCTTAAATCGTTTCGGTTTTACACCACCTCCTCCAATAAAATCTCATATCGAACGTTGTATTTTTCTAGAAAATTTAGGAAAAAACTAAACGAAAAAAAAAAAAAACGAAAAAAAAAAAAATTCACGGCGGCGAGTTTAATTCCGGTTTAATGGTCGTCATGGCGGACGCCATATTTGAGCTTTTATCGATTTTTTTTTGGGTTGTGTCTCCCCCTGTGTGTGTATGCGTGTGCGTGAGGGTATCTCTGATGTACGTTTTGGTGTTGCCATCTTTTTTCTAAATTGTTTTATTTTAGTTTTTAATCGTGCGATGAGATGTCAACATCAGTTTTAAACAAACAAACTAAAAAATTATTATTATTATTATTATTGTTATTATAATAGGAAAAGAAATTTTTTTTTTTTTTAACGGAAAACGAAAAACAAAATTCACGATATTAATAATATTATTAATATCGATCGATCGATCGATGAATCGACGATATATCGAAACGCGCGTACTCTTCTCTCACCCGTTAGAAATTTTATTTAAATTTTCCTGATGACGTCATCATTATTTTTTTTTTCTAAATTGAAACGCCTCATGCACGCTCCGTTACTTATCAACAGGTTTTATCTAACCTTTTTTTCCTTTTTTTTCATTCCATTTTAATATTTTTTTTTTTTTTAAAAAAAAGGTTCAAATATTTGTAAGTTTTGTACGTATAAACCTTTGAAAATTTTCATTTTTCCTTTTTTCCCCCTGTTATATTTAGACGTGACGTCAAAAAAGTTAAACGTTAATAATTTAAAATTTAATTTTTTTTTTCCCCCCGTAAAAAAAAAAAAAAAAAGTTTTGAAACTTTTTAATAACGCGAAAGGTTAAGAAGGAAAAACAATATGTAAAATTGAAAAAAAAAAAAATCGCACTGTAATAGCAGACGACGAACGATTTTGTGACGTCATTTCATACAAAATCTGGAACGTAATTTTTTTAATTGTTTTCATTTCTTCATCGTTTCGAATTAATTTTTTTCTTCTCCGGGGGGACGGGGGGCGAGGGCGAGGGCGGAGGTGCAGGGGCGGTGGCGGAGGGGAGGAGTGAGCCGACATCATTGAATAATGACCGAAAATTTTTATTTATTTATTTATTTTTTTTCGCGATTTTAAACCATATTGAAGTTTGAAAAAAAAAAAAAATTTTTTCTTTTTCTCGTCGTCACGTGTTTTTGAAAGATTTAAAAAAAAATTTATATTTGTAATATTGTTGATTTATAATTTTTTTTTTTTTTCGGTGCGAGAAACGGCCATTTTATTATTATCATTATTATTTCGGAAATTCGTTAAACACAAAATAAATAATTAATGATTTTTTTTTTCTCTACCGTCGCCATGGTCGTATCTCTTTACGACGTGCGACGGACGCCATTTTGTTTTTTTTTTTTAAATCGTTTTGATGACGTCATTAAAAAAAAAAAAAAAAACAAAACAAACGTCGTCAATATCGTTAGTTATCATTATCGTGAAAAACTTTCAAAAGAAAATAAAAAACAAATTCCACGTGACTGGACAAAAAAAAATTTTTTTTTTTTCTTTTTCACGTTGTGACAGATGTGAGGAATTTTTTTCGGAAACTTTTTTTTTTTTTTTTTAAATTACCTCCGGTAACTCGTTACGAAATAATAATAATAATAATAATAATATTCGTTCTTTTTAACAAAATATAAATGATGATGATGATGATGATGATTGCGAGTAATTTTTTTTAACCGTCGAAAACTCATATCAATCACGGATTGATTGTCAAAATAATGAATGCATTACAATCATTCGTAATTTTAATTATTATTATTATTATTATTATTATTATTATTATTATTATTATTATTTTAAAGAGTTTTCCGAAGGGAGGAGCGGAAGTAAAGGAAAAGCTTGAAAACATTTTGACAAAATTTTTCTCGTTGCGAACAAAAAAAAAAAAAAAAAAAAAAAAATTACCAAGATGTCAAAATGCCAATAAAACGGGGGGGGGGGGGGGGAAATAAAATTGGATTTTCTTTACCATTGGGATATTTATTTCCGGTTTAACCACCGGATGTTATTATACATTTTTCACGTATGAATTTGTGTCATTTTTTTTATTATCATCATCGATACAAAAAAAAAATGATTTCTTTTCAATTTTTTATTTTTATTTTTAAATGTCGATACAGCCACGACAACAACAGCAACAAACCGGAAATGACGATTACGTTTAAGTTAACAAAAAAAAATTTTATTTTTATTATTTTTTTTTTTTTTTTTTTTAGATGAGTAAAATTTAAAATAATAAAAAGAAGAAAAAGGGAAAAAGGACAAAATCACAACAGGAGAAGGAGTAACAACAACAACAGCAACAGCAACAGCAACAGTGATGGATTATTTGAATTTATGACCCCCCAACTGTGACATAAAATTGTAAGAAATATTATTTTTCATCCTAACGTCAAAGTCTTTTCATTTTTTTTTTTATTGAATTGAATAAAAGGAAAAGAAGAAAATTTTAACAATGGGTATTTACTCGGGGGTTTCTTTATGTATAAAAAAAAAAAAAGAAAAAGAAAAATGGATGACGAATGAATGAATGAATGAATGAATGAATGAAATTGCGACACAACAATTGTAAAATATTATAAAATGTTTAATGGCTTCACTTTCTCTCTCTCTCTCTCTCTCTCTCTCTCTCTTGTATTATAATATTTATTTTTTCATTCAATTTAATTCGTTCGTTCGAATATGATTATTATTATTATTATTATTATTATTATTTTTTTTTTTTTTTTACAGTTGAGTGTCGGAAAATTCGATATTGAAATTATTAAAAAAAGGAAAAAATTTTCCGTATTTTTTTTCTTTGCTGCTGGAGAAAAAATCATGGCGGAAATTATTCGAATTGATTATTTTAGTTACCGAAAAAAATTAGTCAAAGGAAAATGTAAAAGGAAAAGAAAAAATGAAGGAGGAGATTTTATAGCTGGAGGCATTTTTCTTTTCATTTCCATCAGAAATCTTTGTAACTTTTTTTTTTTTTTTTTTTTGTGTGCCTTTTCCCACTTTTCCTCCTCCTCCCCCCTTTTTTTTATCATTTATTATTATTATTATTATTATTATTATTTTCAGCTGGGAAAATTTTTCGAAAAAAAAAAAAAAAAAGAAAAACTTTGAAAGAACAATAAGAGGAAGAAGAAGAAGAAAAAGAAGAAGGAGAAGGAAAAAAAGGTTGATACCAAATTGAAACCCTTGGGAAACCATCCTTAGGAAAAAAGGCAATTGAAACTATCCTACCACAATTAATTATGTTTATCGTTCCAGGAAAATCTTTAAACCGCCATTATTATTATTATTATTATTATTATTATTATTATTAGTAAATTCAATTTTTTTTTTACTTTTACTTTTTCCCTCGATGCCGAAATGATGAATATTTTCTTGAAATTTATTTTTTTTTTTTTTAGGTTAAATGAAAAAAGAAAAAATTTTCCCGCCATTTCAAGATAACGAAAAAAGAAAAAAAAATTTTACATAACATATTAAATATTATTATTATGTGAATGTGAATGTGAGGGAGGAAAAGGAGGAAGAGGAAAATGTACGTAAAAGGTCAAAATCGAAAAGGAAATGATTATGGAAAAAAGAGAAAATGGAGGGGGACATGAGGGGGGAAAAAAATGAAAATTTTTTGAAAATTCATTTTTTTCCTAATGTAAATTCCAGTTTTTTTTTTTTTTTTTTTTTTTGTATTTTATTCACGTGGAAAATTTTTTTTTCTTTTTTCCGATTCAAATGATTTTTCTTTTTTTTTTTTTTTTGGAAAAAAGAAATTTTATTTTGTTCAGAAAAAAAAAAAGGTACGATAAAAAAACGATTGTTCAGTTAAATGTTCTCTTATAACCTTAACAATAATTTTATTTTTTTTTTATTTTAGAAAATTAATTTTTGAAAAGAAGAAGAAAAACGAATTTGAAAAAAAAAACCGTTAAAAAATTTTTTAATCTCTATGATGAGAAATTATTACAAGGGGAAAATTGTCGAACTTTTTTAAAAATATCCGACGGTTGGTTTTGTCGACGTTTTACTCATTGGAAATTTTATTATTCAAAATGGCGAGCGAGTAGTGACGAGTATGGTGACGTCGTTTAAAAAAACAACCAACAAGAACAAACATTGTTTGTTGTTGTGAATCGTTTGTAGTATTCGGGAGAAGGGAAAAAAGGTAAAAATATTTTTTAAAATTAAATAATCATCATCATCATCATCATTGTTTTTTTTTTTTTTTTCTTTTCTTCTAACAAACAAACGGTGATGGAAATTTGTTTTATTGAATACGTTTTTCTTTTCGTAAAAGAAAATCTTTTTTTCTTTTTTTTTTTGTTTGTTTATTCGTTTGTTTGTAAAGAACAAAAAAAATCGATGGAAAAACAAACAAGTTTAACAACAAAAGAAATTAAGTAAATGAATTTGAAATTTTAGAAGAAAAAGGAAAAAAAAAAAAAAGAAAAGAAAAGAAAAGAAAGAAAAAGAAAAGTTTTAAGTCGAAGATTCATTTCTTCAATATTAGTTTTTTTTTTTTTTTTCCTCTTCGATTTTTTTTCTTTTTTCTTTTTTTTTGTTACTTTCTCCAGTTTTTATTTTGGAGTCTGTTAATACTTGATAAACTCTGATTTTTCTTCTCCCTTCTTTCTTTCTTTCTTTCTTCACAAGAAAAAAAAAAAAAAAAAAATTTTTTTTTTCTTGTAAAAACCACTCCTACCAACATAATAAGTTTAATTACACATTGTGTGATAGTTTCCTCCTCCCCTCCCTCTTGTTTTTTTTTCCCTTCTTTTCCTTCCCTTCCGTTTCCGGTTTTGTTTTCCTTTTACATCATATAAATATTTACATTTTACTATTTAATTTTCGGTATGTAAAGGTTTGGTTACGTTGCAATTTTTTTTCTTTTTTTTTTTTAACCGGATATGGTTGTTTTCCGACTTGCTTACCTTTCTCTTGTATTTTTAAATTTTTAATTAATGCCTTTCGGTGTTGTCCACGTGCACGCACACGCACACGCACCCCATTTTTACAAATCAAACATTTTTCACTTTTCATTTTTATCATAAATTGTGTTTTTCTTTCCGGTAAAAAAATTTTTGATTAAAAAAAAAAAAAAAAAAAAAAATTCCAAGTGGGATTTTTCCAAAAGGAAAATTTGTAAATTCGGGTGTGGGGTGGGGTGGGTGGGTCGAGGGGAGGGTAGGGTAGGGTAGGGGCAAATATTAATTTCCATTTGTAAATTTTTCCATTTTCAAATTCAAATATAATCAATGGATTTTATTAAAGTTTTTAACCGGAAATTGGAAAATTATCGTGTAAAATCATTGAATTTTAATCAAGAGAGCAACAACAACCGACATCCGCCGACATTACTCGGAAAATTTATGTTTGTCTTACGTAATAATTAATTACACGGTTTGATTCAAAATCATTTTTATTTAATGTTTTAATAATAATCGAGTGTATGTGAAAAGGGGGGGAGGGGGTGGGGAAGAAGAAGAAGGAGAAAAGTTGGAGTTATATAATTTAAAAGTGTTTAAGTGAAAACTGTGAAAACAATCGGGAGTTAAATGAAAATTTTACCTTTTTTAAACTTGAAAACTATTAAAGGTTAGAAAAGAACAAAACTTGGGAAAAAAGGAAAAGAAAAAGAAAAGTTTCGACTAACGTCTTAACTAACGACAGTAACTGTTATTATAACAAAAGGAAGAAATTTTAATAACTAAAAACTGTTGTGTAAAAAGGAGAGAAATAAACTTTTTTTTTTTTTTTGAAAATCACCGCAAAAATTATTATTTTGAAAAAACTTGAAAACGCGACGCCATATTTAAATAACTGGAAAAAGGAAAACTTTTTTTTAAAATCGAAAATGGCATTTTTTTTTTCTGTTGGTTTCTTCTTTTCACCGGGTAAAATTAAAGAAAAAGAGAGAAATGGGAAAAGAATGGAAGAGAGAAAGAGGAAAAAAACCGATGATTTAAAGAGAGAAGGATTAAGAATAAGTGAGGATAGAGGAAGAAAAAGAAAATCAGAGAAAGGGAAAGAAACTCACACACACAGAGAAAGAGAGAAGGATAGATAATAAGAGAAGAAAAGAGAGAGAACGAGAGAGGAAAAAAACTCAATGATTTCAAGATTTAAAGAGAGAAGCATTAAGAATAAGAGAGGAAAAGAGAAAAAGAAAATTAGAGAGGGACACACATACACACAGAGAGAAGGATAGAGAATAAGAGAAGAAAAAAGAGAGAGAGAGGAAAAAAAACCAATGATTTCAAGAGAGAAGGATAAAAAAGTGAGAAAAAAAATCAGAGAGAGATGGCAACACACTCACACACCGAGAGAGAGAGAGAGAGAAGGATAGAAAATAAGAGAGGGAGAGAGAGAGAGAGGGAAAAAAGGTTAAAAAAAAAAAATTTTCGAGTGGATTTTTCTGACGAAACCAAAAAAAAAAAAAAAAAAAAAAAAAAAAAAAAAAAAAAATAAGGAAGAAAGTAAAGGAAAATTTTAAATCGAATTAGGAAAACGAAAAAAAAAATCATCATTATCATCGTCATTATCATCATTATTATTATTATTTTAAACTCAGATAATTTATTATAATTAAGTCAGATTTAATTACAATATTAATCAAACCAATTAAGAATTAAAAAAAAAAAAAAGAAAAAAAAAAAATTTGCCAAATACAAATGCTATTACATTACAATAATAATAATTACAACGACGGGGTAGTAAGGAGTAAAAGGGAAAGGGGAGTAAAAAAAAAAAATAAAAAGTACAAACGAGATTTTCCAGGTTTTCCAGATGTTCGGGGTTCGACATTTTTGCCAAACTTTTTTCCAACTTAAAAAAAATTTATTTATTTTTTTTGTTTTTTTGTTTTTTTTTTTTTTTACATCGTTTTCACAAAAATAATTTTATTATTATTATTATTTATTATTATTATTATTATTATTATTATTATTATTATTATTAATTATTAATTATTATCATCATCATCATCATCATTTTTTTTTTTTAAATTTTTTTTTGTTAATTTTTGAAATTTTTTTTTATTTACGCGCGAAATTTTTTTTAAAAATTGAGGGCGGAGAAAAAAAAGGAGGAGGAAGTGAAAGAGCAGAAGACGGAAAAAGAAGGAGGGGAGAGAAAGAAAGGGGAGGGAGGTGTTTCCGTTTTGTCAGAATTTCACGAATCGGACGTGACGTCAATAAAAAAATTTTTTTTTATATTTTTTTTTCTCTAAAATTCGATAAATAAATAAATCAGAAAAACAAAAAAAAAAAGAAAAAGAAAAAAATTTGACGTCATTTCCGGTTTGTTTTTTTTATTTTTCCGGGGAGTAGTATTTTCTTTTTCTTGAGGGTTTTTTTTTTTCAGTTTTATTTTTATTGTCATTCGATTCGAGTAAAATTTTCTTTTTTCTTTCTTTCTTTCTTTCTTTTTTTTTTTTTTTTTTTTGAAATCAAGCAGACGAAACACGACGATAATAAAAAATTCGCGCGCTTTTTTTAAATTTTTAAATATATATATATAATTTGTTAAAAATCATTTACATAATAACAAAAAATTAAAAGAAAAAAAAACGACCTACACACTTTTTGTTAATTATCATTATCATTATTACTATCATCATCGTCATCGTAATAATAATAATACTAATAGTAATTTTTTTTTTTTTTTTTCAGATTGAAATTGACGAGAATAAAATTTTTTTTTATTAATTTATTGTCCGTGAATTGAATCCATTTCCGGTTTGAATTAATCATCACCGTTTGACAAGAGGACGGATTTATTAAGTGCTGGATTTGCTGGATTTGGTGCACGTACTTGTGCACGTGTAAGGTATATAATTTATTTATTTATTTATTTTATTTTATTTTTTAAATAATTTCCCGTCGGAAGTGACGTCTTCTACGGCTTAAATCGTAAAAAATTTATTCAGCACTTAAAAAATCGATTTTTTTTTTTGTTAATTATTATTATTATTATCATTAATTAAAAAAAATATCTCATGAAATTTTATCGGGGGGTAAGGGGGAGGGGAGCGGGGGAAAGGAGCAAAGGACAAGGAAAAAAAAAAAAAAACTTAATTACACGATCAAATTCTTATCACACGATCGAGACGTTAATTCAAATTCACTATTATTATTATTATTATTATTATTATTATTATTATTATTATTATTATTATTATTATTATTATTATTAATATTATTATTATTATTAATATACAAAAAATCACTGGAAACTAATTTTTTAAATAACGTTAATTTTAGTGTTTGTTACTATTATTATTATTATTATCATTATTGTTATTAATTATTATTATTGTTATTGTTATTGTTATCATTATTATTATTATTTAATTGATAATTTTAATATTTGACTTGTTGTTGTTTTGAGGTTCGTCGTGTCCGACTTCCGCCTTCGTATTTCCGTTTCCGTTTTTGATTTTTTTTTTTTTTTTTTTTACCTACCATTTGAAGTATTTTTTCGGACACGACCTCGCACTTCCGCACCATTTGGTTTCTAAAAGTGGGGGGCAAATCCTTCCTCCTCTTCTCGCATGTTTCACAACTTGTCTTCTCCTTTCCATTTCTCCGATGCCGCACGATTTGCTACAGCTTCCCCATTCGCTCCATTCGGTTACGTGGCAGTCTCTTGGAGGTCCTAAATCAATACAAAAAAAAATTTTTTATTTATTTGTTTCCTACGAGAGACGTCGACGCGTTCGAACGTTTTATTTTTTTTTTATTCCCCGAACGGAGATGAATCCGTTCGATACGATGTGAAAAATTTTCAATATGGTACTACTCACTATATTTTTTCATTTTTCTTAATTTATTATGTTTCTTGTGTTGTTCTTTTTTATAGATTTGTACAATGTTATTGATTATGGCATCTTTGTCGCCTCTTTCGACGGCATCCGGTGGAAGGTACGTGATGGGCAACGTCGTCGACGACGCTTCCGTCATCGACGTCATCGTCATCGGTTTTTCCGACGAAGACGACGACGACGACGATTTCAACGTTTCATTGACGAAAGGAGTTCCTTGCGTCGTGGTCGTAGTAGTAGTAGTTGGCGATTTGAATTTGACTGTTTTCATTTCTTCTTCTTTTCTTTCTTCTTCTATTTGTTCTTCTATATCGTTGTTTCTAGAATTTTCCGTCACTTCGTTTTTCGTTAGAGTTTCGACTTTCATCAATTCGAAATGATCTCGGTCTTCGGAATGATGAAAAACTTCGCTCAATTCGTATTCTTTTATCTGCGGGGAGAAGGGGGGGGAAAAAAATTCATTTACTCTCTATCGTTAGTGTTGTTAATAATGAACTGGTTGTAATAAAACGTGCGGGGGAGGGGTGGGGGGTGGAGCGGGCGCGTGGGTGCGTGTGGTCGAACGGGAGGGAGAGTCATTTCAAAAAGTTATTTTGCGGTTTTTTTTTTTTTTTTTTTTTTTTATTGGTGTGTGTAATCGATGAAAAAAATTTAGGGAGATGGAATTGGGGGGGGGGGGGCAGGCGAGAGGGTAGAAGGAAAATTGGAGAAAATGATTTATGAATGGCATAATAACAAAAGCTCGTTTAAATGACGGATGAAATTTTTTTTTTTTTGGGGGGAGGGGAAGGAGGAACGATCTCCCTTACATGATTTTTTTTTGAAGGGGGTGAGTGGGAGGAAAGAGGGGGAGAAGGAATAATGGTTAAAAATGAAATTGACGCTTTCGAATTGATTTTGTATAACATCAAAAAAAAAAAAAAAAAACGTTTGGGGGGTCGATAATTTTAACCGCAGGATTTTTACATTTCGAAAAACATGATGAATTTTTAAACTAACGTTAAATCCGCTCCTCGAACGGTTAAAATCAAAAAAGAAAGAAAGATAAATTAAGGAAAAGTTTAAAAGTAGGAGTTAATTGTTATTAAGGGCTAAAAGTGTTAATTACTTTCTTACCTTTATAAATTGAAACGTTCCGATGGGTGGTAATTTTTTCATGTAGGGATAAAAAAATGATCCCGCAGGATGTGAGGGATACCTCGCCGTGATTTTATATATTATCCCTTGAGGTTCGGTCGGCCAATTGGGTGCGGTGAAAGTGAAACCGTTGTCCGTGCCCGCGTCCATGGGATCGGCATCGATTGTTATGCTGTCGATCCAATTGCCATCGACGCAAAGGTTAAAACTATCGATTCCGATAAACCAATCGGGCGACGGTACGATTCGCGACATTATCGAAACTCTCGAATGATTTCCGTCGACGAAAAATTCGGATTCCGTACGACCGGATCCCGTCGCGATCGGAGAAGCCGTGAATTCGTCATAAATCCCATCTTCTCCCTGACTCAATTCTTCCAAAATGTCCGTTTTTCCCGTTTCTGCAAATATTTTGAGTCCTTTCGATGCCTTTTTTCCCAATCTGAACAATTCGAAATTCGAATCGTGGGATCTACCTGTAAAGAAAAAAAAAAAAATTTTTTTTAAATCGAATTGAAATTTTTTCATGCGAAAAAAATGGTTTTTTTTTAGGTAATGTTGGTAATCCATCAATTTTTTTTGCCTCCCCCCCTCCTTTCTCTCTCTTTAAAATCTGTAAAAAAATCATGTAAAATTAATAGCTTAAATAATAATTGATTTTTGTGTGTAAGAAATTTTGAAAAAACTCAACGGACTCCATTTAATAATTGTGTGCTTTTCTTGATTATAGGTAGTTGAGGTTAGGGCAACCTTTGGGCAACATCTCGCGTTCCTCGACACGACTTTCCGCTTCGCAGACCTTAAAGACGAAAAGAGGAAAAGCCCGGAGTTCGACGGCGTCTGCTCAAAATTTCAAGTCAAGGAAAAGAAGACGCCTGGAGGAAGAGGAACGAAAAGTTTTTACAAAGTGGAAAGCTTCGTCGTAGGAAAGAGGAAGGAGAAGACGATTACGACGATCTGTATCTCTATCTTTTGTTTTGCCATTTCCCCCCCCCCATCAAAAGACCGGAGGCACTCCCGAAAGGGACTGCCGAACGTCCTGGGAGATGCGTTCTCATCTTCGAGGCGATGACGGAACGAAGATTAGGGCGAATTTCCCTCAAAGTTAATCGTGTAGAACGTTCTGGCTCTACAGGAGAGGGTAGACTGAAATGTTGGTTCTATTCTCACAAGAGTCTCCCCCCTCCTCATACAAAGCCACGCTCTTGCGACATGCCCAGGAGTTTTAGTCCACACTCCCTCTACGGAGGGGTTAGTGCGAAACTGCATTTCTCTTGGGTAAAAAGAAAAAAAAAAAAACTCCTGTCGTACTAAATAAAATAATATATGTAGTTTATTAATAAAAAAACTTGTAATAAATTAATTTCTGTAAAATTGTATTTTGCTAATAAAAGTATTAAAAATACTCGATTGTTTGTATCTTATTTTACATCTCCATTTTCTTACCTTTTATCCCTGATATATATTTAAAGAAAATTTTGCCATTTTTTTAGTTAAAAATAAAAAAAAATTATAAATAAAATCCACTGTTCCATTTTATTTTTTATTAAAAAACCTCCTTGGATCTTATGTTTTACGGATAAATCGGAAAAAAATTCGTCGATTAAAAATTAAGTTAAAAATGACCGCGAAAATCCAACGTTTACGATTTATTCTAAAGTAGGTCGACCTTGAATACAAGGCCATTGGTTTTACATTTCAATTTTGTGAAATTTTTCATGGTCACGATTTTTCAACCAAGGTCGACCTTGAATACAAGGCCACCAGTTTTAAAATTTTATTTT